AGTAGTTGTTGTTGTAGTAGTAGTAGAAGCAGCAGCAGCAAGCAGGTGCAAATGTTGTAGCAACAGCTGCGCCAAACCAGAAGAGCAACAATCAGAACTGTTCGCATTATTCTCCTTTGAGCAAATGGGGGGGGGGGGGGGGGGGCCGAAAATTGGGGGACCCTAACATAGCACCCCAAATAGTAGGATCCTTATTATAAGAACCCCAAAACAAGGTGCCCCTTATTTTCGTAAACTCCCAAATAGAGTAGGAGAGCATGTAGAAGCGCGAGCACAACCCTTGCAGCCTTCGCTATCTGAGCCTTCTCTTCTTCGCGAAGAACCTGGAACACGCAACACGGTGAGCAGAAGACTACATATGCATGTATATATATATATATGTATGTGTATATGTATATAGATAAATAGATATGCATGTACACAAACATATACACATACATACATACATACATACATACATACATACATACCTACCTACCTACCTACCTACCTACATACATACATACATACATACATACACATGTATGTATCTATCTATGTATGCATGCATGCATGTATGTATATACACATACGTCTATCTATATATATATATACATGCATGTAGAATAACTATGTGCATACGAACTCTTTTGACTCTGGAGCTCTCTGATGTGCCATATATGACCTCTAAAGCATGAACACCTTCACACACAAAGAGATATGCATGTGTGTATGTTCATATGCACATGTGTGTAAATATGTATGCCTACATACAGACATACATGCAATTATACGACCAAGTAGACCAACAATGACAATTACAACCAATAACACAACCAATACTACATATAGCGCCAAGCATATTCATGATAATAACAATGATAATGCTGAGAAAAGATGATAGTAGTAGTTGTAGCAGTAGTAGTAGTAGTAGTAGTAGTAGTAGTAGTAGTAGGTTTCGGGTATTGGGGACTCCAGAGTCCAAAGACCTCCGCTAGGCTAGGCCAATGCAGGAAAGTGTCCTTCCACTTCTTGGCAAACTCATCCGCTTCTGCAGCGCTGTCCTTAAATGCAGTTGGTAGACATCTAGTCAGTGTTCAGGGCAGCTGGTGTCTAGCCAAACCTCTAACATACTTGGGGCAAGTGCAGCCAACCTATCCAGGGACCGGCCACCCTTCAGCACTGACCTCAAGGCATCCGTTTAGATTTTACACTTATCGTAATTGTTTCGGATGCCGCCCCTGCATTTTGAAAGCACCGAGATGCAGTGAGGATGATGTTGTCGAAAATGGTGCCGCCCTTAACCTGCCAAACGTCAAAGCCTCCAGGGGCATGTGCATGGCACCGTTCCTACACGTTCCTACCACAGACCGGTACCACTACCAATACCGATGCTACGACACATCCTGCTACTGCTATTGCAGAGCAGCTGCTACAATGAAATTGACAGCTAAGAATATCCAGAATTGCAATCCCCAGTAGAATCCACAATCATCGTGATCGTCATCATCATCATCATCGTCATCGCGGCTGTGCCTATGGTATCTTGTGAAAAGTAGCACTACCGTCATTGTCAACGCCACCAGCGGAATCATCACCAGCAGTCACTAGATCCGGAACATCATCTTCTTCCTCATCCTCATTATCGTGGCTTCTCATCGTCGTCTTCACAGCGAGATGATGTCCTCGTTTCAAGACCCTAGCCTGCGGATGCAGGAATGCATAGCTTTCGTCTCCAGCCACAACAACTGATGACCGGTGGCTGTGGTTTAAATTACGCAGGCGCCACAGGATGACGCGCCTACATAGCCAATGTTGTCATACTTGTACAGGTCCGGGTTGTCGACAAAATCAGGATTGGGAATCATCCGGGCTTTCCACTTTCCGCTATACGAAGGATTAGCGATCATTCGAGGGGACCACTCGCCCTTGAAGGCTGGATTGTCGATTTTCGGAGGTTCCCACTCTCCATCTTCATCGTCGTCCCACTCCTCCCAGGAGTCTCGAGACAGAAGGGCCATGAGGGGCCTTCATGATCAGACTAAGGCTTCCGGGTATTTCATACGAAAAGAAGAGAGGGACTAGCAGCGGACATTATCATGATGATAATGCTATGAAATTTTGTTTCGTTTTTGTGATTATGATTTTTATTACAATTCCTGCCAGCGTTCCGCTTCCCCAGAAACTACCCCCAAATCTTGACACCCATCCTCCCCATTAACAACCATAGTAAAACTCGTAGTAATTAAGCTCTTCACAGTCCTAAAAAGCAATAGTGGTAATAATAACAATAATAACCCTAAACCCTAAACCCCCCTAAACCCTAAACCCTCAAATAATAGTAAACAGTAATAAGCAGCTCTCCTCGGGCTTCGTAGCTGCGGAGTCGACGATCTTTGCCTCTGTGGCCCAGTCCTTCGGCTTGGCGTCGCTAGGATCTGGGATCTTCTCCTGGTCCACCTTCGCAGGCTTGTGGTTTGTATTGCTGCTACTTGTAATTTTATTGCTTCTACTTGTGTTTTTATTGCTTCTACTATTCGTGTTCAGTTTTCAAGATTGCTACTGTTGGTGTTCTTCTTGTTGCTCTTACGGTTTCGACTCAGGTATGGTTTACACTCTCACAACTCGGACAAGCCAGGCTCACATATGGTTTAGGGTTTGGGACCAGTTTAGGGTTGGGGTTGAGGTGTGGCTTCGTGCCGGTATGTGCCAATAGGCGTGGATTCCATGGGATAGATACTCGGCCTTTCTATTGTGTGGTACTGGACTCCATGACTCCATGTTCCTCTGTGTATCTCTATATCACTCTATGTTACTCTATGTTGCTGTGTATTACTATATGTATATATATAATACTATATGTCATATTCACAAGCAGGGCTCTACACTATTGGTGTTTGACTTTTCTATCACACTGAATAGAGTGGGGTGTCTAAACAATTCCGTAGGTTTTAGAGGAGAACAGGGCATTGCATTTGTGGATGAGTTAAAGTGTAGAGGGTCAGGGATGCTAGGGCCTGGGGACGAGAAGTCTCGGGGTGCTGACACCCAAAAGCCTCGACCACCTTCACGCCCCAGCTCAATATGCGGTAGAAAATCTGTTGCTGTTGATGCTCCATGCGTGTATAGGGCCCCCAAACAGACGTCAGCATTAGCTCTTACACGGATAACCTTACTTTTTGGGGCGGAGGGGGGCGGAGCTTCACCATAAGAGTTTTGCATGGTATATCTCTACCCATGGTTTAGTTGTTTCAGTTTTCGGGCCCTTTCATAAGCATCTGGTGCCATGCAGTCAAGTGGGGACTCACGCAAACTGCCCCGCACTCTGTGACCCCAGACTGCAGACTCCTTGCCGAAGAACAACTGGAAGTCTCAATCCTAGGGTTTAGGATTTAGGGTTTAGTCTCAATCCTCTATAAGCTATAAGTTATACGAAAACTGCGGGAGCCCCTAATGTCACGAAGGAGCCTGGGGGAAAGTTTTTACGTGGCTCGCGGACGTTTTGTGTAAGCACCATGATCATGTCATGGCGAAGCCAAGCACTACTTGTAGTCTTTCGGCCACCCCAAAGCCATGAACTTCCAAGCGCCTTACGAGTATGGTCTTCTTCCTCCAAGACACCCATCCTTCAGGTCTATATACCTTATGGAAGCCCTATAGAAGCCCTATATTATGGGTTTAGGGTTTACGGTTTAGGGTTCAGGGTTTATAGGCTATATACCCTAAACTCCCCACCTGTAGTTTCCTTTAACCAAGACACCCACCCTTCGGGCTTCTTGTCATTGGGATCCGCAATCTCTTTCGCCGGAAGCATGTCCCAGTCGTCCTCCCAAGGCGGCCGATTCCGAAGCTTGAAGCAGGGGGCTTCCAGGGCCTAGCCCTAAACCCCTGAACCTAGTGGGGGGTTTGAGGGTTTAAGGATTCCAAATTCTGGAACGGGGTCCTTTTGGGGCTGAGCTAGCAGCGACTAACTGTCCGAGAAGGTGTGTGTGTGTGTGTGGGTCTCTTTCTCTCGAGATTGATCATCCTTCGATGGGTAAGGTATGTATCATTGCTCGGCAAAATCTACTGCTTACTGGTGTCGAAGTAACCTGCACCCTGAGCTAGGGTGCACAAACAAATCCATGTAGCTTCATTTCGACAGCCGAGTTCCTTCAAGGATCCTTCGTAGATCTGCTCCCCGTCCACCTGCATCGACATGGAGGGGAGAAATAACAAGGAAACCCTGGTAGCAGCCATTCCTTACGCCCCTATACTAGGCTTTTGTGCGTGGGGTTGGGCCACAGGGTGAGATTATCAATCCTGTCTTAAGCGCCTTTGGGTCGTCCGTGGGCCCCTACGATGCCATGAAATTTAAAGACACTTCCGGCTCATGGCTCAAGTGTGGGTCGGCCGCTTCTTAGGGTTTATAGGGTATGCTGCAGCTTCTTCTGGCAAAGCCTCGCTCGGCTGTGATGACATGTGCACACTACAGGCTTGTGCAAGCGATGATCTATCGCAATACGCCTGTTCCAGCAAAAATATACCACATAGTTTCGAATGATTACTACTATCACTATAGTTCCCTCGAGCTTCCATGTTTGTTGCAAAAGACCCGTCGAAAATACCAAAACATAGACGCCCTAAGCCCTCTGACCCTGATCTGATATCTAGATGTTGGAGAAACAACGAAGGACAAATATTGAACCCCTTCAAATACTGTATCCTCATTAATATTAAAGCAACTCGTCGTGTTTCCCCTTTACGCAAGGACGTCAAAGTTTGAACTTGTCGGAAAGCCGTAAAAGTTCGCTACTGGCGAAAAGCATCGCACAAAACCAACAACATGGACAATAACTCGGAACGTACTATCCGTTTTTTTTCAGATTTGGCAGGGTTTGCACCTTCCTGATTCGAACAGGGTTGTGGGATGTAGCATCACATAATCATAGGGACTAATCATTCAGAGCCCTGTCGTAAGCCTCAACTCGAACGGAGTTGTCCGGCTTCAGGTGCAGTCGATAGAGGTGAGAGACGCCTTCACCTCGGATGGACCCAGAGAGCCCAGTACCCCTTAGTTGAGGAATGTAGTTTGACTTTTTAAGGGGCCTCACTCGTATTTTGACTTTAGGGTATATTCCTAAACTAAGGGGTTCTGGCTCTTGGGGGAGTCTTCTCGGCAAGTTCTATGGCTCTTGCGAGGGCTTGGGTTGCGCCGTAGGGCTCGGACTTCGGATTCATCGGCTTTGGGAATTCTAACTTTCAGATTGGGGTCCTGTCAGCCTGTCAGGCATCGGGGTTTGGGGAACCCTTTTCAGCATGGGCTTGGATTGTGTAAACCCTAAACCGTTCAGGGTCTGGTGTGCCGAGATAAAGCCCCACATCCGACTTCGCAAGCTGACACGGTAGGCTCTGGTCACGGGTCCGGCCTATCTGAGAGCTCGGGAAACCCCCAAGGAACACCTCTACGAAGGTATGGCTCTGACGTTACGGTCTGAGTGAGGTCAGCTCAAAAGGGAGGTTCCGAAATTTAGGGTACCTCATTTGGGGGTCCTTTTCATAAGGATCCTACTATTTGGGGGTACTATATTAGGGTCCCCTACTTTCGGAAACCCCCCAAAAGCCCATGGCAGGCATCTAAACTCCCGAAGCAACGGGACGGAAGCACAGAACGCTGAGTTGACATCGCCAGGAGACCTCATCCCTGGACCCTTCGAGCTCAAAGTCTTAAAGCCCTAAACCCAAATCCTAAAAACTCTTAACGTCCCTGGCCCCAAACCCTAAAGAGCTCAAAGTCTTAAAGCCCTGAACCAAAATCCTAAAAACTCTAAACGTCCCTGGCCCCAAACCCTAAAGCACTGAACATCCCAAAACCCTAAAACCCCAAAATTCCTCAGCTGAAGCTCCATCCTGCTTGTAAGGCAGCTCCGACTTTTTGAGGTAGTTCTTCCCTGACTCAGGGCTTCGACCCACAAAGGCGTAGTATGAAGAAGCCTCGTAACGAATACTTGGGTTCTGGTGTAGATCGTTTATTTAGTAGTACCATCATATAGGGACTACAATCGGGATCTACTAATTGCCAATCAGTCTTAACCCTAAACCCTACCCCCGAAATCTTAAACCGCAGTTCAATCGTTCAGATTGCTATACTGACCGCTGCGGAGCTCTAGAAGCCGCGAGACTCGCACGAAGAGGTCCGGCCGGGCCCTGATCTCATGACTCTAGGTTCTTGCTACGGAATTTAGATTCAAGTTACCATAATAGGGATCTCTACAGTAAGCCCCTTAGCAAAAGCAAAGATGACTTTCGATGCCCTCCCGTGGCCTCGATAGCTAAAGATCAAGTGGGTCCTCTTGTCGGCATTGCACTGGTCCGGGCCGAACCTTTCAGGGCAGAGGCGCTTAAATTTGAACCCGGGCTCTGAACCTGTTCAGCTGAGAGGAACCCTAAACCCTAAACCACAATGTAGACGCGGTCCGCAGCGAAGCCGAAATCGCCGGGGGGGAAGGGGGGGAATTGCTTGTGCAAAGATCCACGGGCAATGTCTCCATATTACCAAAAAAAAAAACCTACAGCCCTGCACCAAAATCACTTGCATCAGCTGAAGTCCACCCCGGTGGCATCTGTGTGTAATTTCTCTGTGAACTGCTGGGTCCTAACTCAAAGAACCCACGAGTTCCTAGACCCTAAACCCTAAACCCTAAACCCTAAACCGTTACTAGAGAGCTGAAGCTGAGAGACATAAGGTGGTAGGGCGTGGGCTCCCCAAAGGAGGTCAGATCCTGCTCACGAGGATCGACATGGGTAGTTGTCAAAATTAGGGTCCCTTTTGGGGTACCCTAAATCATAGGATCCTTAT